CACTAAGCTCATGGTCATAAGCGAGAACAGCTTCGCCGGCTGTCCCATCATCACGATGTATGCCATCATGAGCTTGTCAGACACATAATGCTCGTCTCGCACTGGTCGACCACGCTCCGTAGTCATCTCAACTCTGATCTCCAGCCGCCACAGCCATCTACACATCTTGGCCGACTTAATCGGTTCCGGAATACAATGGTTTACCCAGCTGGGGCCCGGCCCTGCCCTGCCAGACTGACTGGCTGGCTGGCCTGTGAAGGGGTCTTATCTGCCCGGCCTATACGAGACGGGCGGAGTCATACTTGCCCAATGCTCGCTCTGGGTCGACAGACTGGCGTTCTGTATTATCTAGGTGAAAAAGTTATGATGCGGGTGGGGTCCATCTTTTGTATTATCTAGGTGAAAAAGTTATGCTGCGGGTGGGGTCCATCAGGTCCAGGGTCGGACTTGTAGATGGTGTCTGTCGGACCGTAACTGGTTGGTGAAGACTAGGCGGTCGAGAGTGCAATGAGTGAAGTCAAACATATTCAGAAAGTGATACGACTGACCTGGTGCAATTGGTCTATTAGGAAAACTGACTGATAATCAACTCCGGTGTTACAGGGTGATAATGACTTGGCGACATGCTGACAGGGTGGATGGTGGCCAGGTTAGGTGGTCTCCTTGCCGGCCCAGGTCAGGTCAGGTCAGGTCAATTAAGCCTCTGACATCTGCTTCGTGTTTTCTGTTTGCTATTCCGGCCCGGTATCCCGTTTTTTTTTCTCTCTCTGTTCGTCAGTCCATGTCTCATGGTGCATATTCATCACAGCAGGCGTTGTATCCTATGCGTACCTACACGTGCAATCACCGCTGGCAATAGTGACTTTTAGTGCTGACCGCGTTCAATTGGTACGACTGAGCAGCCGAAAAACGACAACTGCCATCTTCAGACGTTAAAAACCGACGCTGCAAGTGCATATGGTCGCACTGTCCTTAGGAACGTGTAAATTTAGCTTCCGCGTCTCGTCAAGGCAGCGCCACGAGGCAAGGAAGTGAATTCCGACAATGGAAGCCAGCGGTGACATGAATCCCAGTTCATGTCAGACGAACCTTGTCAACTACAGATTACAGCTATTGGGGGTTTGTGGCCGGTGGCAAAACGCATCGTAAAATAACCACAACTGTGAGCCGGCAAGGTGAATGGCACAGCTTTTGTTGTCCTTGGCTAAGTAGATACATAACCCACTACCGGCCACACCTTTATAAATACGCCAGTGAGAAAGGACTCGATGGAAGGCCTCCAAAAGAACGGCTGTGGACGCCAGCGCCACACAATGGCCCATGTCCAAGGACCAAGGTGTTGCAGACATACGGTCTACGGAAGCCCGACAATGCCCCTGTCTAATTCGGCCGAGCAAGTTCCCTGCGTACGTACGCACTCTGTTCGGAGCGCGTCTACTCTCCGAACAGGTCGCATCATTCCGTGTGTGGGCGGCAGATGACGTGAGATGACGTTACAAACATAACCCGGAGTCATCACCGCTCCGCCGGCTATCAGACGGTGCCGCGGCGGCACGAGCTCACTGGTGCGTGAGGACGCCGTGGCTCACGGTCCACTCGAACGAGCGTTGACTGGCCGTGGCGCACTGGAGTGTCCGCCCACGCACTGTGACCAAACCGGCCCCCGCTTCCCAGAAGGACCTGGTCGAGTGCCATGTTTGCGCCGTCGCTACTACCTTTACGATACGCTTTTATGGCGTTAGTCTCAAGCACGCATACTTTACATAAGCGCTTGTTCTGGAGTCAGACTGAAGTCATGAGCTTGTGACTTCACAAGGTGATCCATACAATGTCATATAATGATGCCATGTCATGACGTAGCATCAATAATTCACCCGCTACACCGATATCAGCTGGTCATGTGAGTTGATTCAACTTATTACGATAGCTCCTTGACTTAATACCAGTGCACGTGTCATGCGCCCACACATTTACAGCGCCTCGAGAAGTGTCGAGACAATCTGCACGTTTGTTGGAATCCGGAAAACAATTCAATATGGATCTCATGCGATTTCAACCATTCGCCTAAACCTGGCATCGCGCGATCTTCAGCCAAAATGTCTGAAGGTATGTTCGACTTACAAGGAATATTTTCGTTTACCTAACATGAAAAATTGGTCAGGGAGGACCTATGTTCACAGACAATGGAACGATGTCAGCTGACAGCCATCAGTCTAAACAGTATTAAAGCTCACAATAACAAGATTTCAAGGTAATCGGAAGCCATCTTGAGACAAAAAATCAGCCTTAGCCGACATAATTTGCTTTATCCTCACTACCTGTATAAAAATAAAGTGACTCCGATATGCTAACTCGGGTAAACAATAGGGAACATTTTGCTGGAAAGGAATATTGCATCGTATTGCACAAGTGGATTTACTTAACAGACGCTGCTAGTGCTACGCTAATTCATTATTTTTTCCCTGCTCCCATTGTTCTGTTTAAGAGAACACGGATTAGGACTGGCTCGTCACAGACTGACGTTGATTTACAGTCGAGCTGCCGTAGCGCCCACGGACAGTGCCATACTGCGGGACCATTTGGTCTGGACCGTCAGATTCGGACACTCCGTGAGAGGTGTGACCTTGATCTGGCCAGGCTGACAGCTCGGAAATTGATGGCTGCGCGCTGGAACAGAGGTGGGAGTGGCGAAACAGCCGTGGGACAGCGTTGACAGTGGGACAGCAGTCAGCAGTGTAACAACGGAGGGGCAATGGGACAAGTGGGACAGTAGGACGACAAGCTGCGCTTGGATCGGGACAGCGGCGGATCAGCAGGCAGAAACGGCCCAAAGACGCTGACAGAAACACATCCCATAGTAGGCGGAAGCCACACAGGCAGGGCTAATAGCCATACGCCAAAGCAGCGGTAAGGTAGCGATTTGATGGCACCCAGGCTAACTTCAGCCGTCATTTAGTATTTACCCGGCAACAACAGCAAAAGCGAGACCACAGAGAGCCCACCACTGCTCTAATCGGGCTGGGGTGAACGGCATGTGCAGGGCCCGGTCGGCTATTTGGGCAGTTGTCGAGATTGACCGGCCGTGCTTAAAGGCAGTAGACATATCTCAGCCGGGGTCACAGCCAGAGGTCAGGTCGAGTCAAGGCAGGACTCAGGACGCCGTGCTGACTGGACAGCGCGGGCGGGCCGGCGCAGTCATCAGATAGCCCTGTGCCTCCTAACAGACCGCCTATCGGTCCACCACTGCCGGCTCGCCCTCGCCCTGAGTCGCTCATTGAATTGCAGCCGGGCGGCGGCCGGCCAGCGCATAAACAAGCCGAGCTGCACAGCGAAAGCGGTTGACCCTGCTGTCGGCTGCCGCCCAGCCCACAAACTGCCCTGCCCCGCCTCTGCCCGGGATAAGGGGTGGACTCCACCCATGCTGCCCGCTCCCCGCCCTGAGCAGAGGACAAGTCTCTACCCAATCTGACCGCTCCGTCCTCCCCCTGGCTCTCCGTGACCAGACAGCCAGGGATCAAACAACTCAGACGTCTATATAACATAGAGTTTAAGAAGACCCGTAAGGACCAGGGGCTTGCTATCTTGTTGATGCATTGAAAATTGCTAACAAGGATTCCCGCTTTTTAATAACTAGCACTACGCATGTAACATTTAACATTTCATAAGCATCCCAAACTGCGATGAAAATCTGTGACACGCGTTGCTCCATTGCATATAAAAGTTGCAGATAATCGTGCACGGCGCTAGTTTCGCCACCCACCAGTGCGGCACGTGACAAAACACGAGGACAGAACAGTCTGGACTGCCCCCTCCAAACAAACTTCACGGAATGAGAGGGGAGGGGTAGAAGACCGGTCGTCTCTAGCCAAACGGGCTAACGCCTGTGCCATCAGCACCCAAACCGGCCCGGGCTGCACACAACCTCGCACGACTGCAGTGTTCCCAGTGAACCCAGCGAATGCGCACAGTTGTGTTCCCTTGGAGGTCTGTGACGCAAAAACAGCTTACCTTGGCACACGGGGTGATTGACACAAGTCTGACCTGTTGAGCCACTGATGACGTCACAGGTTACGGTAACGTCATCACCGCTCTGTTGCCGAGCGAAGACTAACAACGTGAGCTTTTCTTCCGTCTACCCCACTGTCCGATACTGCAGCAAGTGGAGCTGCTCAGACGCATCTCCCACCTACCGCCAAGCTAAACCACCTGAAGTTAAACACTAAACCTGAAGCTAATCGCTAAGCCTTGCACTCAGTCGAAGCGTTTAGCCACCTACGTCACCCCTTAGTGGCTCGGCAACTGAGAGCCATTGCGTCAATCTCGTGTCGGGGTTGCAGGAGAGCGGTGAGGCGTGGCCAAATAGGATGCCGGCGCGTGTGTCGGTGTGTGTGTGTGTGTGTGTGTGTGTGTGTCTATCTGAGTACGGGACGGTCTACCGACAGCGTCAGCGACAACGGACGGCAGGCGCCGCGACAGACGACCGAGAGAGGCGACAGACAGAGAGAGAGAGAGGAGGCGGCTGTCACCGGCGAGAGAGGGAGAGTGACGCACTGACCGTGATTTCAGCAATCATCAAACGGAGCCGACCGCGGCGAATCAGGACAGACAGACACAGGCAGACGGACAGATCATAGACTGACAGAAACAGATGGATGGAAATATGACGTACAGGCGTCATGATGCAATGATCACAAGACACACAACAAATCAGGACCGTTTAAGCCTTTAACCGTTCAAAGGAAAAGCTGCAACGTACCAGGTTAGACACTCAAACGACATAAACGACGAACGACTAGGGAGCTACAAAAAATGAACAGCAAAAACCGGGCGACAGATAGACGAAAAGAGAAAAAGAAATAAGAAGGGGAGAGTGAAGAAGCGGAGTGAGCCGATGCCACGAGTCGGACGATCTGGAGGAGACAGCGGGTGAGCGGGGCGTGTGAGCGGGGTCGGTGGGGTCACACCCGGTGGGGTCGCGCGCCGTCCGAGTTAGGTATTACCTGGGCGACGTTAGCCGGGCGACGGTGGTGAGCACACATGCAGCCAGGGCGGCCCTTGGTGGTGGCATGCGAGGTCACGAGGTCACGGGATCACGGCCTTACTCTGCGACTTGGACGGGTACAGGTCCATGGCGTGGAAGAGGCCGATGACCCGGTCATAGGTCAGGCGGCGGCGCGGGTCGGTGGCGCTCCTCCATACCGACCACAGCTCCCTGCGGACACAGAGGGGCGGCGCGGGTCAGACACTGATGGGGCCGAGTGTGGGATACAGGATGTGCGGGAGCCGCGATCATAGCTCCACAATGGCATGTGGTCGAAAATGAACATTACAGTAACGGACATCACGGTGTTTTGCAGCTGATAGCACCTAGACACCTGGCTACCAAAAGGGAGAACAGCTGACCGTGTCATTCAGTCGCTGATTCAGACATTCATCAAATAAGAATTACAGGTGAGGTGATATTCAGGGACCTCTCCGGTTGTTGTGACAACATCAATCAAGTCTAACCAGCCCTCCCCCACTCCGCTCCAGCCGACATCCCTCTCCGCCCTGGCGTGCTCCCGTGACGCCTGTGCCGTCACCAAGCGTCACCCGGCGCGTCCATCGTCACGGCAGAGTGAGCGGAACGTCAACACCCTGCACGAGTGCCATCCACCACGACCGCGAGCGAGACAGCCGCCAAACGGAGCCGCGACATGGCACTGATGGAAACTGATGGTCCCTGGCGTGAGACGCCGAGCCACGTCATCGGGATGTGGCCCTGGATTTGGATACCCGTAGATTGAAAGCCATCAATCAATGTGGCATGCTTGTGGATATGTGAAGAATTGGCAGCGACAGTATTTGTGTTAGAAGTTCAGCATCGCTGAACCATGAATGGTTGGCAAACGAACTAGCGACAGCCCTCGACAGAGAATCGCAGCCAAAGGAAGAAATTGGTTTCTTTTTCATCCAAAGTTAACGCCATATGAATAAACCGTAACATAATCAGTCTTTGAGGCGAATGTCTACCGCTTCCGTCACTGCACCGCCCGGCTCGCATGTGAACGACCCGATCCAAGGAGACACCACCGGGCGGCGGCGGCTGCTGCGCCGCGCTCGTCCGTGACACGGTGAGATCACGAGCGACAACTCGAATATCGCCGCCAGCGACGGGAGGTGGCAGATTCCGCCGCCGGCTGACACCGCGCCGGCGTCCGGTTACAGAGACGTGCGAGACGAGGCGCTGCTTGCGTCAGTGCGGTGACCGAATGTGGAGACGTCAGCCGCCTCCCGTGCGTCGCACCGCCCTGCAGATAGCGCAGCAGCCGGTCCTTCCGTCAGACCACCGCCGCTGGACCGGGGGGAGACGGTGCGGCGCACTGAGAACGGGTGGTACGGACAGGTGTGTCACGTATCACTTATACGCAGCTCCCGTCACTGCACGCCCTCATCAGGCGATCAGACACAATGGATGGCCAAGATGACGCAACCTGAAAGCGCTTTGCGTCTCGATCCGGAAGAAATTACCACCAAGATTTGCCTGTTCCTCGGTGCGTAGGCAGAAAGGGGTCAGATAAACGTTGCTTCTCATTCACAAGACTCCATCAGGTGATGTTACGCCACACAACCTTGCGTCACGACTTGCCTCTAAAGCTTTCACGGCATCCAAACTGCGTTTAACATTTCATTGACGTGCGCAGCTTGGCAAAGGCGGAGACCACCACGGCCGGAGACGGGTCGGCGCCGCTGCGGCCGGCGATCTCAGTGGTCGGCGATCGCGGTATGGTCGGGGTTCGTGATTGATGTTCGGCGGTAGTCTACCTGTAGTTTGCGTCACACGGCAGCGCCCTGCGTTCCAGGGAGCGCCGCAGCATTCAGCCGCGACTGACAGTTACGTGGCGTCCCAGAAAGGTGAGACGCGCTCGGTCGCAGAAAACGGCGCTGTTAGCGCACGAAGAACCGCGCAGGCGGTCTTCGTAAGGGGAGAGAAAGGTGTTCAGGGTAGGTGGGTACATATTCCCTTACACTGCTGAATGCAGTGGCCTGCATTGATTCCCTCTTGCCTGGGACCATGCGTATTGCGTATGGGTTTGCCGTGACAGTTTTCTGGCATACGTTCACCTAGTCGGCGATTCGTGCACCATCCCAGCATACCTGGCCAGATCACCGTGCGGACAGTGTCTTCCGAAGCCGGAACTCGTGCTGACAAGCATGTGATTCCATCTACGATGGGAAGTTGTAAAACGTTCTCAAAACTCATAGAGCAAGTTGCGAACAATACCAAATATGCGGTATGGAACCTTGGTGTTCTGAAAACTCGACAACTGGATTACAAACTGCTAGATTTCCTAGACCTGCCACTGAAGTCTAGAACCAGCACAGTGTTCGACCTCGCCGAGTACGAGTTTGAGCGTTTCCCCGGAACTGGCACATGGACGGTGCGGTGCGGTTCGGAGCGGTGCAGCCCGGCCCTTGCTCGGGGCAGTGTGGCAGGGGAGCGGGGAGGTCGCCGATCGGCCGCAACTGGAACACCCTGGCGGCGGCGACAGATCTCGGCGGCCGCACCGGGAACCGAGTCGCCGCCGGCGACCGCAAACGCCGCCGCCGCCACCGCCGGCTCCCGCGGCAGACAGAATGAATGAACCGGCGGCGGCAGCGGCGGCACTGCAGCGGCCACCGCCGGGAGGAGCGGACCACAGCAGGGTAGAGGTCGTCCGGACGTCCCGCACCGCACTTCCCCCCGGCCAACTCCCGCCACCGCGCAGCCGATGATGATGAGACACGGAGCCAGATGGCGCTGCGGTCTTCTCTGTTGACCCATGACCTCATCAGTGCACGTGCATCAGCGCCGTTCAATTACTGCTGCCGCGGCCGCCGGTGCGGTTTTCTCTGTTGACATTACATCACGCGGTCTGGGGCACAGCGCAGCCGGCGGTCGGCAGCACCAGCCAGCGCGGTTTCCGATTGTCCGCGATGATGACGAGAGGAGGCCACCCCGCCCCTTGCCCCCTGGGACGACGTGAAGACAGCCAGGCCCCCGCTGCTAGAGCGCGTGCCAAGTTACCGCAAGTCGGGTGCCGATGACGTGATGACGTGACGACCCCTCCCCTCCTATATTGTGCTTCACAAGAGGCGGAGACACCTCCCTCTCCTTTCTGGGACATCGGGGGACGTAGTTGTGCCCACTAGCTGTCTAGCGACAGGAGAGCTTTCTCGCTCAGAAGACGCGGTCTCGTGCAGGTCACGTGATGGTCTGAAGTCACCCAGCTCCGCAACTGGTTCAGAGCGCGGTGCTCAACACGGACCAGCCTCGGATGGATCCGGGACGGCTTAGGTTATATCCTGGACTGCTTCCCTCTTATCCGCACTGAGATCAGCTGATATTATGGATGCCCATGTCACCAGCAAACAATCGCCGTGTTAAGAGCGGCTTCTGCCTTCCTAAGTAGACGTAATTACACAGTTCGTCGTAACTACACATCAGCAGCCCAAGTCGACCACTCTAGCGAGAATGACAACGATCTGTAAGATACCGAGTCCGTTACAAATGCCGCGGTGCAATGTGAGAGAAGACCAGCTGTGTCAGCCTACTTTACGCCAGCCCGACTATATGCCACACAATACAACGCCAGACGCCGCAGGGCTCCACAAACCTTTTGAGACAACAGGTAAACATGACGAGCCGAAGAGATACCGAGGATCAAAAACTGTGCTGACATCGTAGGAAAAGCCCTAAGATAATCGTGTGCAACACTCGCAGATTGGGAAAGTCCGTGCGCTCACTCTCCTCACGCATGGAAGCGCACGCCACTATCCATCAATGAATACAAGCAAAGTCGCGTTCACCGACACTGACAACGTCAAAGAAAACAAAAAAGCGTCATCATCCAGCATCATCTTACATAACACAGAGGATAACACAGAGATTAGTGTTCGCGAGTAGTATCACTAGGGACTTTTCGTAGAAGGCTACCTGAACACTTAGGTGAGTTTTGGATTTAAACTTCGATGCTTTCTTTGATCGTACCACCCACGTATCCTGAGCTGTTTGCAACATCACTCCTCTGAACCCGGATTTAAAACTCGCGCCAAGGAACCGTGAATATCGTCATAGTTACGTTCACTGTGCGATAGCATTTGTTACGTGTTCGATACAGTACATACACAATGCATCTTCCGGCGAACCACGCGCTGCCGACTAATTATCTTGATGGCTCTCCATTCCCAAACATGGCAACCACTCATTTATGCCCGTTGCTATGTCTGGCCACAGCAGGGCGTCGGCTGGCGCCTGCCTGGCGTGCCGTCTTTCAGCACCGCAGCCCCCACGGCGACCACCGGGGCTCGCTACTGTCACGCCGCCAGCCGTCATCAGCATGCCGCCACCCGTCATCAGCATACCGCCAGCCGTCATCAGCGCTTCGGTGACCGTCATCAGCGAGCCCCCATCCGTCATCAAGGCGCCGCCTGTCGTCATCGGCCTTCCAGTCGATGCCGCCCAAGACGGCATCCGTCAACATTAGTCACCAGCCAGGGCGGTCAGACCTCCGGGGTCGTCCACCGCAGTACAGTGCAGACTGCACAGTGCACAGGGGCCAGCCTCTGTGTGCATTGACGGAACCGGCCGCGGAGACGGCCCTGCAGTCACCGCCGCATCAGCCGATCGCTTCAGTCGATAGACAGCTTGACAGTGAATTTCTGAATTCCTGTCCGTCGGATGTCCGGTAACGAACACGTGTCGTCTGGGTATTAATTCTCCAAAAAGGACGGAACCAGCGAGCGTCACCGCCGCAGCTACGCGCCGCCGGAAGGCGCCGTACCCGCTGCGGGAACGTCAACAATGGGCCGCACCTCTGCGGCGACCACCAGCAAACCTCATCTGCAATCAGCTGCGCCCGATCGGGTCAGCTCAAAGCCGGGGCTGAGGCGGCCGCAGATCCACCGCAGACGCGAGCTGCCGTGTCCGCGCCCAGCCTGCCATCGCAGCGCTTCTTTTGCTTCACTTCCTCTGTTCTCCCGACCAGCTGTTTGATCTGATCTCTTACACCCAGCCTGTCGACCTGACCAGAGACTGAAGCCGCTACTTTCGATGCCTATCTCTCACACCGTTAGCAGATCAATTTCCGAGTCCCGTCCTGACCTGCTCCGTTCGTGTTAACCACACTAACCTCTTCCTGACCCACCCGTGGTCTGCCGCTGCCGTCTCTCGGAATTCCCACCCTACCCAGC